GAGTCTTTGTAGCCAAGTTGTACTGATTTAGAAAATATCGGCCACACGTATAAAGGGAAAATTCACTAATTCCCAAGATGACGCACGGTCTCCGTTACCTAACATAAGTGAAGACGCTGGAGTTCCTCTAACTATATACAGTATTTTATAGCAACAAAATTAATTAATTTCAACATATTTCAATAAATATTTTATAACGTAATAATTCAATTAATGAAAAATAAATGATGATATTGTTCACGATAACAGATTATATATATATATATATATATATATATATATATATATATATATATATATATATATATATATATATATATATATATATATATATATATATATTGCATGGATATGTGAGATGTCAAGACGCTAAACCGTTATAGTATAACAATATCGCTGTATTATAGATTAATAAAAGGATAACGAAGGAACAAGGAGGTAGAGGCAAGTAAGTTGACTGTTTTGGCGCCTCCAGTTGTTGACGGAGGAACACCCTGTGTTGCCAGCCAGGCGGTATCAGGACTAGCCCCTGACTGCACGCTAATGGTGGCTCACACTGGCTGGATAAGTCTTGGATGTGAAAATTACTAGTATTTATAAATTAGCTTAAGGAGTTCAATGATTTTTAGTTGGCTGTTATATATGTGCGGTGTATAGAGATGTTTGGTGAACTATCTATAGCGTACGTGACCAACGCTAACTATCGAGAATTGGTTCTTTACCTACTACCTTCACTGGTAGTAGGTAGTAGGCAGCTACCAAACAGGGAGGTACTACCGCCTGGGAAGGTATTGGAAGCATAATGTATTGTCTAATGGTGGAACCCTACTGCCATATGGCATCACAAAATTTGTGACCAAGTCCCAGGTTTCTGACCTGACTTTCTGTCTCATTTACACATAATTGCAAAGTCTCAAATGTTTGTCTTTTGTATTGACAACACAACATTCCCCCTGTACGTATATTTTTTCTCAATTTAAACTTTTTTTCTTTTTTGTATTTATGGTTCTTTATTATTATTATTATTATTATTATAATTATTATTATTATTATTATTATTATTATTATTATTATTATTATTATTATTATTATTATTATTATTATTATTATTATTATTATTATTACTAGCAGAAACGCCGCCCTCGGGGCGGCTCTTTCGCTAGGCTACGGTAGGACGCCACCCTCTGGGAGGCTCCACATTGTCTCACTGTCGTGCATTAGGGTGGACCACATTTTTGGTTTTGCCATTAGGAGCAAGTATGTTCAGATTTTTGCCAGTTCCCACTCTGGAGTATCCAACATAGAAATGGCCATGAGAGAAGCTAGGAAACACCAGGTTTCCGCCAACCATTTTTAGGGACTGTCCCTGGCTCTAACCGGGAACTGAAGTCGCTTGAACTCAAATGGCTGTTCAGCAGTGATGAGAGGTATCCTTGGTATAAACACGTCCTCTCCTTTAGCTTTTTCTGTCAGTATTGTAGCTTCCAGTACATGTGGCATCATGTTCTTCACCACCAGTCTTGTGCCACTGCAGAGCCTTGGTGGCTCAAGATTTCTTAAGAGCATTATAGGAGTTCCAATCTTGTGAGTGAGGTGGTGAGGAGGCATTCCAGCGGGTTCCAAAAAATTAAGGAATTCTGCAGGGTACTGGACTGCTTGATCCTGGTCGATTACTGTATCAACACACTTGAATGAGGTCTCACTGCCTGGAAGCTGTCTGAGTAGAGTCATGTTGATTTCAGCCACTGTTTCATTTTTTGGTGCCAGAATTGCGCGTTCACGCAGCCACTTGTGATCCTTGTAGTGGTGGATAATGTTTGGGTAGACCATGTTAGTGAGCTCAGTTGAGGACTTTACAACATTTCCACATCCTTGAGGAACGATTATTTGTCCTTCTGAATCAACAGGGAAAGTTCCATTCCCAATCTGTAGTAGAAGGTTTGCAAACCGTCCAACATCCTGATCTCCTTGTAGATGTTCTCTCATGTTTGTGGATAGGGTGAGTGTCTGAACACTTCTCCAAAGGTATGATGCCTTGAGGCACGCATTCAGTTCATCAGCTGGAGTGTTTCGAGAAATGACAGGTAGGGTCTGGCGAAAGTCTCCAGCAATGACAATTGTAATGCCACCCATGAGCTGGTCATTTTCTCGTATGTCTTGCAAGTCCTGTCCAATGCTTCAAACGCAAACTTGTGAGACATAGTGCATTCATCCCAGACTGAGTCTGCATTTTTCTAAGAGTTTTGCCTTTACCGATCCTTTTTTGATATTGCACACTGTATTCTCATTGTGAGCGAGGTTGAGAGGCAGTTTAAAAGTTGAGTGTGCAGTACGTCCTCCTTCTAGTGTTGCAGCAATGCCTGAGGATGCCACAGCAAGAGAATTTTCCCCTGATGATCTACTTTGGCCAACAGAAGGTTGATCAGGAATGTTTTTCCTGTCCCGCCAGGTGCATCAAGAAAGATCATAACTTCCTGCTCCGCTTGTATCGCTTGCAAGATCTGTTCATAAGCATTTGCTTGACCAGGCACCAGGTGAGGCTAATTTTCTTCCAGAAAATTCACCAGAACTTCAAATGAGTAGTCTGTCTCTCTGAACAACTCCCTGTTTGCAGCTACTGGTTCTTCTCGGTTTGGGGAAGGCAATCCAAAATCAGTCAGGTTTTTTCCGCATAGCTCCATCATTTTGTCTTCCAGCATGATCAGAGCCCTGTTGAACATGCCATCCATGAACTCAATCTCTTGACCAGGATGTTCTCTTCTTGCTTGATGAAGATAAATCTTGATAAAATCACACAGGGAAAAGGGAAACAATGAGCATGAGTAATTGCCTTTCTGCTCCTTTAGCCTGTATTTATATGGAGTTTTTTGAGGCTAGATTACTACCCAATATAGGGGACTTTATTCCTCCATGGTATAGATATTGTTACGAACCACGCCATCAATTGTCATGATCTACCTACCCAGCACTACGAACCACGCCATCTATTGTCCTGATCTACCTACCCAGCACCACGAGCAACGCCATCTAGGGACGAAACCCGAGTATGACTAGTCTTAGTTACCACTCCGGGGTTTCCCTTCTCCATATCCTGGTTGTTGCGTCACCTCCTCCAAGTCTTCCTCATCAGCTCTAGTTCGATGAGAGTTCAGTTCACTCTGGGAAGTGACCACAGGATCACCTATCCTGGAAACCTACGGCACAGTGACTACCTACCGTCTTCTTCAATACTCAGCCTTACTCGTCAGCCATCTCAGCTCCGCACTTAAGTATTTGTAATCTTATATTGGGTCCCCACCTCCGCCTTGCTTCAAATTATTGTATGTTGTATAAATATGTATATACTGTTAAGCCAATGTTGCGTATGTTTAGGTTAAGTATGGTTAAGGGTAATTTATAAGAAGCTGAAAATTTTTTTAAGGAATTTATGTTACTTTATTGTACACAACACAAACTCGCATCCTTTGTCTACCCTTTTATAGTCCGATTGTCTTTGTTTTTTTATTGTTGTTGCCTGTTGGGATCTGGGTAGACTTTTAACTATATTCTAAATCCCCAACTCGTAACAATATGTAGATATGTTCTTTGTCTTTGGCCTAGAAACAGTGACCAACTAGAATTTTTAGACAAGCTTAATGATCTTGTCCCAAGTATTACATTCAAAATTGAAAGAGAAATAAATGGATCCCTTCCATTTCTTGATATGCTTATCATTAGAAATGGCCATAATTATAAATTTAAGGTGTACAGAGAGCCTACACAAGTAGACAGTTTCAAACATTTTTTATCGAGTCACCTGGAATCTACCAAAATGTCAGTATTTTCTGCTATGTTTTTGAGATGTTTGCGTATTTGTGACGCTGAATTTATTGAAGAAGAACTGAAACACATTCTGTTCCATTGCACAAAAATTTGGGTACCCTTCATTGTTTGTTGATCATTGTTTAAAAAGGGCTAACAAATCCTTTCATTCTACTCAAACCAGGCAAATACCTACAGTTAAGAATATTTTGACCTTGCCTTATCGCAATGAATTTCTCCCGTTAGTTCAGTCCCTTAAATTATTAATTATTAATGCTGTTTTTAAGTATGACTCAACCATTATCAATATATTAATAAAGAATAGCCCAACTTTGAATGTAAATGGAAGTGTTTATTGTATTCCATGTAGCAACTGTAATGGAAATTATGTAGGACAGACTGGGAAAGCATTGCAACTCAAAATCAAACAGCATAAGTACAATATCAGAACAGCATCTGAAAGCAGTGCACTGTTCGTTCATGTTAGGAATAATAATCATCCCATTGATTGGGAAAAAAGCTTAGAAGTGTACAAATCACCATGTGTCACAGAAAGACTTTTGGTTGAAGCTAGTTTGATTAGGTATTAGGTATTAGGTCATTACCTAATACCTGACCATTGTGGACCTGATCTCACCCTCCTCTGTATATATACGCCTTGTTTTGTACTTCTCCTTAGTCTGTACTCACCCCTGAAGATGTGAATTACACGAAAGCGCTTGGGAACTTCGTGTTTTCTTTTTCCTTGTGGTTATCAGCATATACCTGGATCACGCGCACCTCCAGTGATTTACTTGCATATATATATATATATATATATATATATATATATATATATATATATATATATATATATATATATATATTTATATATATATATATAATTTGGTTAACCAGACTATAAAATGACTAAAGTTAGATTTGACGTTATCGGTCTTGGTCATCCACTCTTCACGCGCACAACAATGCAGGGTATTCTTACATATATGGATATTAGAACTAGTGAGGGCAGTGCAACTAAAGCCGTTATCCTACAATCCATAAATATGCATCAACTGGCCTTCACAAACTTGGTAATCAGGCAAGAGTAAGAGGGGGATGGGCGGGTGAGATAGAGGATGAGCTCAAGGTGGGTGGGAGGAGCTTGTTGAAGGAACGGGTATAAAGGCCAGCGAGACTCACCGTCCACCATCATCTTCAAGTAGGCTCCTTACACTGGCTGACTCTGCTATCTACTTCTCTATATAATTTATTTTTGCCTCATTTTCAACCATGAAAGTTCTTCTATTAATCGGTAAGGATAAAAAAAATATAGTATCATAACAATGCCTTTATTTTCTATTAATTTCTTTGTTTAATTTCTTCTTCTATTACTTATTTCCTTTTCTACTCCCAATCTAATATATTACTTTCTTTATCTTGCACTTTCCTTCTCTTTTTTCTTTACTTTACATTTAAACGGAGTGGATGAGCGAAGGCGGAGGTGTGGGTGGAAGGAGGGGAGGATTGAATTAGAGGCCGGAGGGGGGAGAATGGGCCATAATTACAGTAGGAATATGGATATCGTTCAATAACTTAGACACTAGGTGATATATGACTCACTGTATCACTACAAAACACAAATACATTTGTGATAATATTTACTCAGGACAAAGGGAGGGATGAATTGATGACTCTTATAACGATTCCTGTATTCATTTAATATTTTCTTAAAGAAGGACAATTACATTTCCGAACACCCTACAATCCTAACTAGCTTAACAATATTACATGGTGTGAGGGGAGTTTACCAGAGGGTACAGTTATATATCTCCCCATGTTAAATCCATCGACCCTACACACGTCTACACAAGAACACCACCAAACACAGGTACTACATGATTTTTTTTTTAATATAATGTTCACCACTTATCAGTTTACTAGCCGTTCGGACGGTCTATTCAGTATTAGTACAGGCGGAAACTGGGGACCGGGAAACCTGTGATGTTTGGTAGGGTCACACTGGATAGCACACTTCTCGCGTAGTGTCCGAACCGAGGCTCGAACTCTTGCCATACAGGTATTGTGAGAGTTACGTGCATTAGCGCCGTACCACCAACACCCGTAAATGCCATTGTCTGTAACTTGAATTAACACAATCTTTGATAGATGAAATTAGTTACTCTAAAACTCAAGAATTATTACAACTGTGTATGAAATAAATGAAATAAATAGATTTAGAGAGATCATAGTAAAATTTAATACGACTATGTCCCTTACATACAGTAGTTTAGTAAATGTGTCGTTTTTCTACAGCTCTGCTGGGTGTATCTGCTGCTGACAGACGACCTTCTAGCAGCTACGTTGCCCCTAGTGGAGGTTTCAGTAACGGATTCGTTCCCGCAAATGGAGATCCAAGCAATGGTTACGGTGCACCCGCTAGCAACGGGTTTGGAAGTGCCCCAAGAAACGGATATGGAGCTCCCCCAAGTACCGGGTACGGTGCCCCAACAGGTGGCTACGGACAAGACGATGAACTTGCTGCTCTGCTGGAGAGCATCCCTGGTGGTGGCGTCCCTGGTGAAGACTACCCCATTTTGGCTTCTCCACCTAACACTGGCTTCTCCTGTGATGACCAGGCGGTGCAAGGCTATTACGCTGATACCGCCTCTGAAGCCGGCTGTCAGGTGTTCCACATTTGCCAGGACCGCGCCCGCAGACGCCAGCAGGACTCCTTCCTCTGTCCCAACGGTACCATCTTCAACCAGCAGTACCTGGTGTGTGACTGGTGGTTCAACGTGGACTGTTCTGAGGCTGAGAACTTCTACTCCGTCAATGAGCTCATCGGCGTCGTCCCCAACGGCGGCTATGGATATGGTCCAACCACCAACGGTAATGGCAACAGTTACGGGTCCAATGGTAACGGAAATGGAGGGAATGGTAATGGAAACGGTTATGGATCCAACGGTAATGGAATCGGAAGGAAGAATGGTAACAATGGCTACGGATCCAATGGGAACAGAAGGAACGGAAATGGTGCCAGCAATGGCTATAGACCCAACGGTAACAGTGGGAATGGTAATGGTGCCAGCAACGGTTATGGACCTCCAGTTCCTCCACCTACTTCCTATGGAACTCCATTTTAATTGGTTTATATCTTGACACTTGTCATCTCTCACTTGACTGTCTTTCTGGTACAATGATTCCCGCATCCACTCAACCATGATCGAAGAGTTTACTGGACTCTTACCTTTTGTATATAATTGCAGCACTTATTCATGTTCTTATTGTATGTATGAACTTATAGTTCTTATATTTTATATATTAAAAATCCAATTGAATGTTTCGTATGTAATATTTTTGTTACCTTCAAAGCGAAATGTTTTCGTTTGCCGAAAGTAAAGGCTAAGAATTCACAAAATTTTATTCAATACTTGATTACTTTTAGAAAGTAACCATTTTTCGAAGTGTATAATTATTTGGTAAAGGCTTTCGAAACCGTTATCACCAGAAGGAAATGTCCGATTTGGTTTAAAAAAAATTTTGTACACACTATTAGCATGATATTGAACACAGAAACGGAAACGATAATACATAGAACCTTTTAGAACCTGACCTAACATACCCATAGGTTGGGTATGTTAGGTCAGGTTTTATTACGTTCAATGTATTATCGTGTTAATTTATGTGTTAAACAACTTTCCTTAATATCTAGGTTGATATACATTAGCGAGGTAAACACCAAAAATGGCGCTCGGAGGAGAAATGTGAAGCAGGA